TTAACATTTTTATAGAAGTCAATGACCTCTAAAGGTTAATCTTCTTCATATTTTCACATCTTGATTTAGAGTACGATCATCTTACTTACCTTGATTTGTTTTTTACTACTAGGTTTTAATTAGATGTATAAAATTTACATATTTTGAGTACATTTTTCACTTAAATTTAATGTGTTAAACAAATAAGAATTTAACTGAATTAATATATATACATTACTCTTTCTGTTTAATTTTATTAAGTTTAGTTTTTTTTAGTCTAATAAAATAATAATGCAATAATTAATTGATAAAATTTTATATATATCATTAAATAATCACTACTTAAATAAGTTTTCTTATTCAATATATGTTGAAATGATTTTTTTTAAAAATAAGGATAAAATAAAAATAATCACGTTAATTGGCATTTAAAAATAAAAAATAAAAAACTAAATTTGAACGCTTCAAATTAAAAATTGAAAATGCTATAATTATGATATTATGTAATATTGAAAATTTATAATATGATATATTGTTATATAATTTGCTCTTTTCAATTAAAAATCTACCAATAATATTGTATATTTTTACTCAATTAATAACACATTATATTAATTCATATAATGACATGTTATGCTATAATTTTATAATCTTATATGATATTGTAATTATAACATTATCGATTAAAAATTTGATCTACTAAACTCAAGCAAAAAGAGCATATAATTCCTAATTTTTTTAATCAACCATTTCTTTCATGGTAAAAACGATTGTTGGTGATCAACTATTAATTATTTCCTTCTACACCATTTATTTTTTTTAGGGATATGGATGAAAAATTAAAGCTGCATCCAATCAATAAATTTGGGTACATGCGCCACATGGTCCATCTGAAGATAGTGATAGAGGGTAACATGCTTGATGAAATTGCTAAGCAAAAGGAACTTAGGTTTCATGAGAAAAAGATCTGTTGGATCTTTGAGAAACACACGGGTCTCCTTTTGACACCATCATTGATAGAGAAAGAAAGAAACATGGATATGTATTTTTAGTTTGTTAAAAAGAGTAATTCAACTAGTTAATAAATTAATTTTTTAAATTAAAATTTTTATATTTAAAGATTAAATCAAATTGAGCAAGATTCAAGAAAAATAAAAAGTTACCTATTTTTATATAATTTATCATTAAAAAAAAAAAAAAAAAAAAAAACTAAAGGCTGATCTCCTATTTTTGGAAGTAGTCTTGGATACCAGTTGTAAGAGTACTAAAGATGGAAGGAAAATGGAAAGGGATGGGTAGAAATAGGTAGCGTTGGCAAATGGGCAGTTTTCCGAATTAGCGGTCCCCAATTCTAGTTGAATCAGTGTTCACAACACTTACGGAACGGAGGAAAATGTGTGCTTGTTGTTGTTCACTGTACGCAGTCTGCAGAACGGTGTTTTTCTCAAGCTCATACCTAATTTCTTGTTGCGTAACTCACCAAAAAGAGGATGAAAGCAACTCATTTTTTTAAAAAATAAAAAAACATATGCTGACAAAATTTTT